TAATTTCCTATCACTTATATCCTCCCACACCAATACCTCCTTCCTCATTAACACTAATAACTTATTTTTAGTTTAAACTATTATTAACTTAGCTCTGTTTAATAATTCAGTTAAAAAATCTATGTTTTTTAAGAGCAAAGACCTAATATTTTAAACATATACTCTCTCTCTCTCTCTCTCTCTCTCTCTCTCTCTCACACACACACACACACACACACACACACACATACACAATACACATAGATTTTTGATCTATGAATCAAACTAATTTAGCAGAGATAATGTTTATCTTTGTTTTCCTAGTGTCTGGCACAGACTTTAGTACATATTACAAAACTCGGTCATTGTTGAATAATTGAATAAATGGTGAAAAGATATTTTCCACTATTTTTCTCATTTCAGGAAAAATATACTGTTGTGAAAAGTATATACAAGAAAAGTGTAATGCAATGGTTAGGGTTCTTGTCTTGTACAAAGATAACTCTGGTTTTAATTCAGATAACATCTGAAACTGATGGATGAGCTTTTTGACAATAAAATGTTTTTATCAATACATTTTTCCTATTTTCAAATGGACATTGCCCTATTTTCAGTATGCTTAACCAAACTTCAACTGTTCCAATTATCCATTTATACTGGAATAAATGGTTCAGAATATTTCATTACTAAGGTCAGAAAATGATCTGGTTATGAAATTTAGATCTTCTATAAAGCCTTCCTGTGGAACAAACGCAGAACACAAAACTCTAATGGGAGAGATTTCTACATATTTTGAGATTTTGAGATAATGGTTCAATAAACAAATTATAAACTTTACCTTCTAGAATATGTAAGCTCCGTAAGGTAGTTAGCCTCTTCTTCTTACTCCAAAAGTTTCCAATCCCAACAGTGATGATCCAAATCTCTCAATAAAGACTTCTCATTATTAATGAATAAATTCCACTATTAATATTGAAATACTCAAAATTAATCTCTCCTTCCCCTACATTGCCAAAGTTCCTTGTACTCTTGGTAGAAGACTGATTGGTCTGTCTTGCATTAAAATTATTCATTTATGTATTTGTCTTTCATAGTAGATGGTGAGTTCCTGCAAGGTACATACAATTCATCTATGTTTCCCCGTGTCTGGCACATTATTACTTTGTACTAATGGATGGTCAAAAACACGTATTGAATTAAATTTGGTAGACTTTTTTTGTATATCTAAGATGCTTGGTGATCTATATATCCAGATTTTATTAGATATCACCCAGGCTAAGCTTAGTCCTCCCAAAATATGACATTTTGGCTATTTGGCTAGTAACTCTTCCAAACAATCTAGAAACAGAAAGATGTGGGAAATGAACTGAAATAGATAAACCATAAATTAACAGATTCTTAGTTACTTTATGCCAACTCACTGCGGTCCTCCTCCTCCTTCAATTTACAGTACTCTTAACTCCTGTAGAATCTGTGTCTTCATGGGGTTTCTTGGTCTCTGTCACCACTGGACTAAACCACAGGGAAGCTGTGTGGATTGAGTTTGAAACTGCAACCTTGAATGAGACGGCCTGGTTTCAGATCTCATCCAGCACTTATTAAATACACGAAGGCAAGATATTTAACCTGTGAATGCTTTGTTCTCATTTTTTTGAATGGAGATAATAATAATATGTACCTATAGGTTATTTGGGGGATAAATAAAGACAGCTCATGGATATGAGTTGGCATATAAGCACACTGTCTAGCATCTGGTAAATAATGAATGAATGTTGAAAAAATGTTTTTGAGTTCTGATACAGTGCTTTGAATGAATTTGGCATCCATTAAATATTCCTTTAAATAAAGTGAAGGACTCTTGTTTTCTTTTGTGTTAGGCAACTGAAATTCCATGGTCGCTGATCGCTGTGTTAGAAAATTATCCTGAGATTTTTAAAATCTAGCTGTATATGTATTCCAAGTAGTGGGTATGTCAAGCTATTGTCCCATCCTTTTTTTTTTTAAAGAGTGACACAATATTTTTTTTGGAAAAAAACAAAATGAAAGTGATCACATGAAATATACGAAGTTTGTCTAGCTATCTTTTTATCTGTTTCCTTTCTGGGGATTACCATTCTTCTGTGTGCCTGAATATAAGCAGTGCTGATAGAATGTTGACCTGTGAGAGTCACAGCAAGCTATTTGGATCAGTCCTCAAGCTTTACTACAAAGTCAACCAAAAAAAAAATTAAAAATTAAAAGAAAGGAAACCGTAACAGGCACAGGAAACACCAGCACTGTCATTGACAACAGCAGCAAAATTACAGGCTTTGCACCAGATACGGAACCAATTGGTAGAATACTGGATTTTTTAAGATGTAGTACAGTAATGGCCAAACTAATATATTTAAATAAACATTTGCTAAATATGTAAATCAGAACAAAGTAGATTACCTTGATGCATTGTTTAATAACCTGAATACACAAATATGTTGCGATTAAAAAAGAAAGGAAGCCAAAACTCACCTGTAATCATTAGCAAACGTCAAGATATGACCCTAGGACCACACTCCACCTGTAAATTACATCACTAAAAAATCATCCCCCCCTTTAAATTACAATCACATCTCACTTCATGGGCCATCTCTAATTCTATTGTAATTATTTTTACTGATTTATCTTCATGATCTTTGTCTTGAAAAAATGTGCTATTAATGCATATGTATCTTATTCTGAAACTAGTATTTTCAAATGCTGAGAAAGTCTGTGATGACATAGCATTACTATATCGAAAAGATGCTGTTGATATCCTTCAACATAATAAACTACAAGAATCAAAGATATAGAACTTTGACATAAATGTTACCTCTAGGTGTAATCTTGACATAGAATGCAATTTAATAGCATAGTAGTTACTTTAAAAAAGTAGTTCAGTAAATTAAAATGAGGTTAAAATAGCAATTTTGAATTCATTGTGAATTTTTTTTTAATTCTTTTTAATGTTTATTTTTGAGAGAGACAAAGACAGAATGCAAGTCGGTTAGGGGCAGAGAGAGAGGGAGACACAGAATCCGAAGCAGGCTCCAGGCTCTGAGCTGTCAGCACAGAGTCCAACGTGGGACTCGAACTCACGAGCTGTGAGATCTTGACCTGAGCTGAAGTCGGACACTCAACCGACTGAGCCACCCAGACACCCCTCATTGTAGATTTTCTAAATACAACTTAATTTGACTTTTTTAGGTGCTACTAGTTTGTCCTCAAGACAGCATGTAATGTAAGTTAATTATTTGTATGCTTTATTTATTTGTATTAATACTTTTATATGATTCTATTTACCTCATTGATACTTATTTTTCAATTCCTTGTAACTTTCAATATGATTATAAAAACACGAAAATTATTTTAAATCCAAAAATCTAATGATTAGGTTTCTTGCTCAATGTCATATTTTATGAGATAGTTCTGCATAAATTGATGCATGTTGATTTCTCTGAGAAGGAGACACATCTATTCCTGTGCTGGTGTGGATATCAGAGACTGGTTCAGTAGAGACCAAATTAGAAAGAATGGACAATTTTTTTTAATTCCTCCTGAGCTAGGCCTTTATTATTTTATTTAAAATAATTCTCACCAATATCATATATCACAAAGAATACCACAGTGACAAAATATGATTCAAAGTGGATTATAAAGGCTGTTGAGACTTCTCTCCACTCATGTATATAAGCAAGTAGTAACTACTATGTTGTGTCGATTTTAGAACTTTCAAAACCATGCTTGGTAACAATATTTCTGTTGGTGCTTGTCAAGGATCTAAACAACATGGAAAAGTATGAGACTACAGTATAGCCTTTGCTCTCACTACTTTTATTTTTCTTCTATAGACCTAGTCTATAGTCAAAAGCAAAGTGATATGTTCTGTTCACATTGTTAGAAAGGTTAATTTCTGTATAAAGTATATTCATTTCTTCCGCATGTTTGAGATTTAGAATGGCTACAAATTCAATTCATGTGCAGAGTATAACAGCAAACAAAGGTATTAAAAGACTAGGTTCCAAGGACTAAGTAAGTATTTAAGTTCTCCTATGTATTTATACATGTTTTAATAATAATGTCAGTGTGTTCTTAAACACTAAACTTTGCCTAATGCTAAATTAACAAATCTTTGGATTAAATGGAAATTTTCATCTGATATGTCATATCTTATGTGAAAAAAAGGCTATCTTTTAATTTTACTTCTATGAAAATAGAGTTTTAATAAAAATCAATTTGATGGCAGAGCTCAGGTTCTTTGCTACTATATGAAGACTCGAATATGCATTGCAATTGCACATTGCATTGCAGGTACATTGCATTGCACCTAAGCATTGGTACAGATATTTTCCTGGGCAGTCTAAAGGGCCAAATCATGAAGCAGAGATTTCTTTTAAAATTACCCCTCAATACATCAAACGCTATGGTATCCACCCTGGATTTTTAAATAAAATAATCTCTATTAAAGCACTAACACATTGTAAGTGAACGTGTATTTGATGAACAGATACCACTGGAGAATACATTTTATAACAATGAAGTATGTACCACTATGAGGCAGAAAAGCGAACAATGTAGTATCTTATTCTGTTAGAATTAGACTACCTGACTGCCAATGATGTTTCTTCCCTCTGCATAAAAGAGACAGTTTTGGGTTTGTTTGTTTGTTTGGTTGGTTGGTTTGTTTTTCCAGTTGATCTGGAGTTATATTACCGCGGTCATTAAACAGCAGAGAACACTTAAAAATAGCATATGTAACACCTCCAGTGTGGTTCAGGCCAGCACCACATAGTCAAACACGTGAATATCTCTATAACAAACTGTGGATCAACACATCAAGTGAGATAAATTTGGTCTATAAATAGACTCTGTTCAGTTTGAGGCATGTTGTTTGAGGCATGTTTTACTGCCAAGTGAGTTCAGGCTGCGTTCATTTCTTTCTATGACTCAATGATAATAAACCCACAGGTGATTAATACAACTCAAAGGAAAATAGAGAAGACTCTTACCTTGGCACATAAAACCTCTTTCTTCATAGCCAGCATTGCACGAGCACTTGCCAATGGGTACAAGCCATTCACCTTCTGTACTGCAGTACATCCTGGGAGGATCTTCCTCCTTAGAATTGTTAACACAAGAACCTCTAACCTCCACCAGGGATTGGGAATCCATGGGTACTGTGTCTGGAAACATGGCCAGATTCTTCACCGTGAATGGGCACTTTTTGAAGTACACTCTCACAGACACCAAGGCGACACAAGCACCAACATCTTGAAATGCCAAGTAAAATCCCTTTTTGTTGACAGGACCTACTTCTCTAATTTCAGTGTTGAGTTTAAGAATACGGTCTCCGAGATCCATTTGGGTGAAACTTTCATCAGCTGCAATAGTGTCAATCTTTGTAAACTGGTGTTCTCGAAATTTGACCCCATGATCATCATCAGACTCCATGTAGTACAAGTTGAAAGTCTCTTTGCAAGTTCCCAAAACCAGTGGAATGCTATTGCAATCCCGTAGAGTGAACTTGAGCTCCACATAGATCTTCTGAGCTGAGTTCCTGGGGACCCAGTTTGTCCTCAGCCAATTATTTTGACTGTGATCCATGACATTGCACACCTGGTAAGTCCTGATGGGTGTGTAATGTTCATCAACACCACTGATCTCTTCCCACTGAAGAATCAAAGGAGAAAAAAATGAGAAATAATGAAATAAGCATAATGAATAATAATGCATACAAGATCAGGGTGTTAATGGCATCTCAGAAAATACAAAATATTTAAAGAGAAACTTCAGTGTTACTCATTAAAGATCATGTTATGGAACAACTCCATAACTTTCTTATTTGTAAGTTTATTATTTGCAAGTTTCTATATTCATCGACACTAAGTAATTTAAAATTTTGACTAACACATTTGGATTGTATTGTGGTTTGTCAAATAGTCAGGAAAAAATTGCCTGGCAATTGATTAAAACCAGTCAAAGATTCCAGTATCAAAAACCTCAAATCAATTATGTCAAATAACACTATGAAATGGTTTTATTGTACATATATTTTTAATGTGTTTTTTTTTTTGGTTTGTTATTTAAAAAGAGAATGAAAAATACCACTGCCTACAACAAATTTTTATTCATCTTTTTCCAATTTGGTCCAGAATTTTGTAAAATCAGTATCTAGGCATAACAAGGTGAATCTGGATGATGTCATGACCACTTATCTCCATGCATGACATTTTTTAAATATAACCATTTCAAGGAATAGATGTTGGGTGAACCATGAAAGAAAATCTGAAGTAAAAATACAAACATGCCTCCCCCTGCCAACAAAATAAAAAACTAATAGTTATACACGGAAAGCAGAAGATGTAAATGTAGCAAACATTTCAATTCTTAATACGTTTTACTCCCATTGAATTTTACACAAGCAAGAAATAGGTGGCTATTTGGGTTTTCACTGTTATAGCAGTTAAGGTTATCCTAACATAACACGTATTCACTGTAAAAACACTTAAATAGTTTCAGGACTTTGTAGGACAGTGAAGCACTGCTTTCTGTTATCCTTGCGACAGATTTGGGGAAGCTTTTTTTTTTTTTTTCCAACGTTTATTTATTTTTGGGACAGAGAGAGACAGAGCATGAACGGGGGAGGGTCAGAGAGAGGGAGACACAGAATCGGAAACAGGCTCCAGGCTCCGAGCCGTCAGCCCAGAGCCCGACGCGGGGCTCGAACTCACGGACCGCGAGATCGTGACCTGGCTGAAGTCGGACGCTTAACCGACTGCGCCACCCAGGCGCCCCTGGGGAAGCTTTTAAGTTAGCATCACGTTGTGGTACTTACGGTTCTGCAACTATTATACAATCTGTTTCTAACTATTACACCTGTGTCTACACTTTCTTTTTGCCATGCCCAATTTTGTCTCGTGCTACAGGAAAATACATCTTTTGCCATGTCATACTTGAATTCAAAGCCTTCTCTGGCTGACCATTATTTATAAATAACTTCACACTCTTTAGTTTGATACTGGCATTCTTCCAAAAACTGATCCCAAAATACATTGATATTTTTCTAAAAGTTTGAATTGAGACTAGTGAATTACATGTGTCACTTATACACATACTATGCTCTCGTCACTGTAAACCTTTTTACTGTTTTGTCAAAAGCCATGTTAGATTTTCTCTTGTTTATGGTATAACCCCAACCTGACTGTGCTGTTTTCTCCTTGATGCCTTCCATAATCCTGTCATTCTTAAGAAACATTCTGTGCTATATAATCTTTATTAAATACCTAATGCATTTACAAATTTAATACAGTACGCATGCTAAGATTAGTTTTGGTTTCCTATGCATTCGCTACGCTTTGGACCTGTTCATATACTTCATAATATGCAGGACACAACTTCATATTTTGAGAGATGTATAAAAATTATTATATTCTTATAATATATGAAGGAAATCACTCAAAGGAGTGCAAACATAAAGTCGTATTAGAGAATATATTTTAATTTTATAAATAAACAAAATTCTCATGAAACTCATTATAAATGCGTTCCACTTTTTTTCCTCCACTGAGGGAGTTAATTGTTTTCATCATGAATGACAAGTTTTCAATACTTAAACGGACAGCATTTAAGATGTACAAACACTTTTGTAATTATAAATCTTAAAAACACATAATAGTTCCAATCCACAAATTCCAGTCACAAAATTAGATACAATATTAATTTATTGAATTGATGGTAACCACAAGCAAGAAACACAACATTTATTTGGTCTTTGAAACATGTTAAGAAAAAAAAATAAATTATTTACATTAGGATGTTTGAATTATCAAATCCAATATGTAGACCTCACTAATGTAGTAAACAGGTTAAAAACTTCTTACTCTCCCCTGTTCTTCTACCAACCTAAAAACAAAATAAAAGCAAATAGCAAAAACCACTCTTCATGTTAATAACTTTGATTCCAGAGTTTGGAATACAAGAGAAGTGCTCATTATCCAGAAGCAAAATGGGCTTGACCCCACTGTCACACCAAAGTCCATGAAAGGAACAAATTTAGAATGTTTTAGAAAACTCTATAACGAATATACAAGCTATATTTATATATTAATATAAGAAAAGAAACACCCTCACTGTACTTTAAATAATCATCAATATACCATTTTCAAACATCCACTCTATGACTGTATTATACAGGAAGTGTTTAAGAAAAAAGGTGTACCTAAGCATCTAAGTTCTGAGGATTGTACTCTGAATTGCCTGTAAGAGTAAAGTCACAGTTAAAGCAAAATTCATATATATGTTTAATATCAGAAAAATAAAAAAAGTGAACAGAGTTGGAACTCCAAAAAACTCTGATGTTAAAAGTCAGCACTATGTGTAATCTTGTCTATTATTGTTACCGTGGTTCTACGATGACACTGTAAAGAACTATGACATTGTACAGAACTAGCAAAAACTCCAGAGAGAGTTTCTCTCAAAACTTGAGAGAAAATTAGATCATGGATATCATTATTTAAAAATAAATCAAGTGACTTAAAATTTTTAGATCAAGGGTTTTTTTTTTGTTTTGTTTTGTTTTGTTTTTGTTTTGTTTTGTTTTCTTATCAGAATAGATAGGAGTGTGTACTTCAACCGATGAATCAGTTGCAAATTAATCCTGCTATGGACAGTATTTTACTAAACATCAAACAGAGGTTAAGATTAGAGATTTTCACAATTTGAAGTAAAATATGATTTTAATTATAGAGATATCCCCGTAGTTTAACATTTTTCCTCTCAATGCTAATTTGGCAGGCTATCACAAGTCCTTGAATGCTGAGGTATAAATTGCAAGAAGGTAATACAAACAGCACCAGCATGCTTTGCACATAAAAGGCTGCATAGAGCAATTATCACTTCATTAATTTATAATCAAGACCAAATTGCCTGTAAGTGATGGTGGCTTGCCCTCTCAGTCCACTGGCAAAAAGAGCAAGTCCCAAACCCTGGCATTTGCTGAGGACTAAAGACAGTAGAAATAAAATCCCTAAATGAGCACTTTTCTCAATAGCAGCAGCAATAACAGAAATCACTAATTAAAGCTGTGATTGTAATGTTTACACTTCATAAACTTGAAGAATGCTCATGTTTAACCTTTCTTCCTATTCCAAGAACTAAAGTATAATGTTCATAATTTATTAGAAATACTATATTGCCATAGTCATTGTCGCAAGGAAAACCTGGGAAAATAAAATGGGTGCCATATAGAACTAACTGGTGACATACAGAATTGCGCGGTACAAAGAAAAGATCTTTCCCTTCATTTTCCTGATTAAAACAAACAAAAAACTCTGCAAGGGGTTTTCAGCAGTAACGTCTTCAGCAGAAGGGAATACAGAACTAGAAAGAATTCAATTTTTTTTCTAATGGTCAAATTCTCCAAAATCAACAATTTTGATATTTAGTCTCTTTCCCAGATTTTTACCCTGAGATTTTATTATTAGACCACAAAGGCCAGAGCTGAGTTCCTTGTGGTTTTATTTTTATTTTTCCAAATTATTTTGACTATTAGAAAATCATGTATCCAGACATCATCTCCCTAAAAAAGTCATTCTGAAACCTATTCCCAGGGTATAAACACGGTGAGCCTCCCCATTATCAAAACATAGAGTAGGATACAAAGGAGATTATTTATATTTTTCTGGATATAACAGTTCCTTGTCACTGAGTGAAACATATATTTTGGGAGGAAAACATATATTTTTAATAATTTATCAGTATTTAACCTAATAACTATCATTCTGATAAGTCTCAATGATAGTAATTAAGGATTTATACTCATTGATATTAATTACTCTCTTGGACACATTTTTAGCTACTTGCCAATAGGAAGTAAGGAAGAAAATGTTTACATTTTCTAAGAGAGGAGAACTTGCAATATGTTTAGTGCATAGGCTGACATAATTTGGGAAACATTTAAAAAGTAAGAAAAAGAACTTTCATGATTTACCTGATAAGATTTAAAACCAGTTTCTTAGAAATTTGCAGATGACAATAAAAAAAATGATCACCGATAGTCTTAGTTTACAATATTACATTTGCATTTCAATGGTTAATAAGAAACACATTATTCTGCACTTTACTAAGTGCTAATGATGACTAATCTTGCACTCAAAAATTGCATTAGATATTAAGTTGATTCATGCTATTCTTTCTCCACTCATATTTCTTGATCCCATGTTTATTCCCCCTGTACACATGCATAGCCATTTCAAAATTCAGTGTTCATCCTAGAAATACTTGAACATTTACCATGCATCAGCATTTTACACGTGGAAATGCATAATCACTTACAGTAAGAACGTCACTGTCAATTGTCAGGCACAGCTATATCTATAAAAATCATATCTCCATTTATTAATAAATAGTTTTTAGCCCATTCTGGTCTGAAGAGCATGCACACAGATACCTATTTCTAATACCATTCTATAACAAGATAGAGTAAGATAAAAGAGTTGAAACAAGTAAGGAATAGAATTGTTTGGTTTTTAATTTGTCTCGCTGTTGATGTTGATTTTTGGTCAAATCAGAGAATTACCTTTGTAACCAGGGAATGAAAAGAGAGATGGGGACCTGATGTTGAAAACAAACATCAGATAACAAGGTATGGGTTAGAGTCTAAGAATAGAAAT